ATAGGCGAAGGAGACAGTGGCCGCCCCCAGCAGGAACAGGAAGTAGGTGAAGGCTCTGTCGTATTGGTCAGACACGGGATCGATGAAGGCGCTCTCCTTCCCGCAGTAGTACACCATCTGCATGACCCCCAGGTCAGCTACCGAGAAGCGGGACAACATCAGGCTGAGCTGGACGATCACGTGTGAGGAGCTGACGGCCCAGATTACGCTGATGGCGGCGCCGGTGTTCCTCAGGGTAACGATGGCGCTGTGCCTGAGGGGGTAGCACACCGCCACGTACCGCTCCAGGCACATGCTGACCAGCGTGACCACGGACACGCATTGGGCCAGGCTGCTGAAGGCAATGAGCGCGGCGCACACAGGGTACAGCATCGTGAAGCTGACCGCGGACAGCAGCAACATTGACTGGCTCTGGAACAGCTGCACGGTGTCCACCAGCAGCAGGTTGAACAGCAGCACGTAGCGGGACGCCTCTCTGAACAGCGGCCGGCTGCGCAGCGTGTACAGCATGGTGAGGTTGATGAAGAGGAACACGCAGCATGGCAGCGTGGTGACGATGGTGAACAGCACCAGGCCCAGGACCCCCTGGTGAGGCCCTGTCACCGTCACGTTCAGCGCACTCCTCCTGCTCAGCATCACAGCATCATGACAGACCCAGCAGGGCCACAGAGGTCACAGAGGTCACTGCCACTACAACCCCCCAGCATCAGACCAGCCACACTGGCAGATCCACTTCCTGTCATCAGCTTTTATCTCATCCTCTCTCTGCTGCCACCAGCTGAGGGCTGTAAACATCACATGACCACTGAGCAGCAGAACGTCATCAACACTTCATTACTGATTCAGTACTGTGTTCTGTTGACAAACAAAAGTTTGCATGCAAAGTTTCACTATAACAGGAAATGTTTTCATGATGATGCTCATGTAGGTCAGACCTGCTGATTCAACACAATTAACTGAATGAATAAAAACAAAGGACCGCAGCTGTCCTCTTCCTCACGATGGTCCCTGAGGTTTTCATTGGTTTGTCCTCTAAAGGTTGATGGTTTTTTTCCAGATCCCTGAAGATCTTTTCTGTTTTGTCCATCCAGTTGGTTGGTCATCATGTTTATTGGTCTGGAACTGGAAAGTCAGCAGCATGTCAGACTCTTCAGTCCCAGAGTTAATGAATCTGATCAGACATTAGACTGTTCCCACCTCCAGGCTATGGTGCTTCATGTTTGCTTTACCAACCAGCTCCAAACAGCTGCTACCTGTTGGCCGGTTTCAGTCTTTGCACAGCCTCCATCTTGGTTCTGTTCCGGTGTGGTGGACCCTGACCTCCACTGGTCTGAGATCCTGTTCCTGACCTCTTCCTTTGTGCCAGCCTTCAGTCCATTGGTAGGACTCGTCAACACCATCCACTTCCTGAATCTGTCCTCCCATGACGGCTCCTGCTGGTCTTTCTCATGGACTCTGGGTTTCTCTGCATTTCATCTCCAGAGCTTTTCCTGCTCCTGGATCTTTGATGCTTCATCCTGGAGGAGGATCTTTGGAGAGTGTCCTTCACCTCTGTCAGATTACAGCTCTTCAGGGTTTAAAGTTCAGGGAGAGTTTGTTATGGACTCATCACCAGGCAGTTGGACATCATCAGTGAACATTGGCGGTGAACCCATCCAGCTCCAGCTTAGTGGATCCACAGGATGTAGATCAGAGATCTACAACCCTCCAGATCTGTGTTGGATCAGGTGTTCATCTCACCCCTGCAGGACAGCAGATCCTGAAGCTGCTGGGCCACAGAGTGACATAGAGAAGTGGACTGAACACACAGCCCTGTGGCACTTCCATGGTAACAGTCACTGAGTTCAGACTGAAGATAATCAGAATGTTTGGGACTGATTTATTGGGTTAACATTGTACTATAGTCAACTGATAGTATCCTGACCTTTGACTTCTTGGTGAAGGCTGAGTGACAGATGACAATGATGATGATGATGATGATGATGATGATGATGATGATGATGATGATGATGATGATGATGATGATAAAGGTGGAGGAAGAAGGCTGGCAGGATCAGTGATGTGTCTCTGGTTTCAGAGTTTTAATGAACAGAACCAGAATCTTCACATTTTGTTCTTGATGAGTCGTTTTTCTTCCATTGGATCTGATCTGATCAGCTCGATTGCTTCTGTCTGTCTGCTAGCTTGATGTTAGTTCAGCTACATTTAGCCATAGACATAATAAATGAGTAGACCTTGTGTTGGCTGCTAGGTGCAGGAAATACGGCGACCATCTTGGAGCAGTCAACCGCTCCAAGATGGCTGCCGTATGTCTCTCAGCAACAGTAGACCAGAGCGATCCAGGAGGCGTCTATCATTTTATTGTGTCTTTAGCTACCAGAGTTCCAGCAGAACGTTTCTCCATCTAAAACGGTTCATCCTTCATCTCTGCTGATCCATGACGGGCTGAGGAGATTCTGGTTCACTGCTAGAACCTTTAGAACCGTCTTGTTCTGATCATCCAGACCAGAATCAGACCGTTCTGTTCAGGTTCTGGATTCTCCCTAATGCTGAACATTTTATCCAGGAAGCATTAAAGTGGTTCTGGTTCTGACGCGGTGGACCAGAACCTCGGCTGGTCTTCATGTGTTTGTGTTTTATATCAGGGGTTCTGGTTCCGACCCAGTTAAAGGTACTGGTTCTGAGTAACGGTTCTGGTTCCGACCAGTCCCTGCCTCACATCCATCAGTTACTGCAGATTAATAAAAGTTGTTTTTAATCTTGAAGAGTCTCACATTAAAGTCATCAGAAGTAACTGAGTGGTTGCCATAGAGACAGTTTGTTGAGTGATGTAATCCTCTGGGTGTGATGATGATGATGATGATGAGCGCTCTTTCCTCCCCCGGCGGCTCATTTAGCAGCATTAATTATTAAAGCAGTAAATATTGACAGCAGCTCTAATGGAGGAGATTCTCTGAGGATAAAAAGTTTAATAGAAACTTAGAAAAACTTCTGCAGAGGAACCGAGAGCAGCTGGATGATTCCTCAAGGTTTCACAGGAAGTTTGATTTTTCTGAAGTTTATCACAGTTTATCATGTCATTTTATTTTCCTGAAGTTTTTCACCAGACTTTCTGCTGAGCTTTTCCATTTTAAGTTACAAATTTACATTTTACAGGAAACGTTCTGATATTTATGTTTTAATATTTAATAATACTTAATATTTAGCTCATCTGAATCTGCTTGAATCTGGACTCAGTGAGCAGCAGGAAGAATCTGGAAACATGAAGAGGCAGAATGAAAACCCAGATAATGATAAGAGACCTGAGATTATCTGTCTGCAGGAGTGAATTCTGGGTTTGGTTCTGGAGCGTCTGATGGGTCAAAGTGAAACATTTTCATGGTTCTTCAGATTCATTATAACACTGGGTTAAAGCATATTTTTTGGAAGTTTTCTATCTTTTTTTTTTCAACTGAATTAGGATTATTTTGCACCATTAAATCAAAAAATCATATCCATTTTACTCAGGGATTTATTCTAATCTGATTAGAATAAAAATCCGATCTTCTGACTAAATTGATGACATTTTTGTGACGCCATCAGTTCATTTCTGTTAACATTTCTCATCCAAAAAAGGTTTTAGGAGGAAAAAAAGTAGTTTAACAGAGTGTATTAATGAAATGATGCAAACTTGGATTTCTGTAAAATGAGTCATAAACACTGGTCAGGGTAAGTAGCTACATGTAAATTGAACATCACGTCTTCATTGAGTAAAATTCAGGGCATGAATTTCCGTTTCTTTAGCTGCTCTTTGCTCAGCAGCAGGACGTCTCTGCAGAGTCCAACCAGCCGTCATGATGTCATCCAGCATAACGAACTAATGTGGAGCTTAGTTCACAAAGTTCACCTGATTGAACAAAAATAAAGGGATTTTTGGATTCAGTGCATCAACATGACATTAAAACTGTTGGAAAATCACCGATAATCTGTTGACCATTCTGCTATCAGTGAGAGGAGCTTCTGCTGGTCAGAAACGTTTCTGTTGAAGTCAGCAGTATTTCTCCTGCAGGTCTGAAGCAGAAAAGGTTCTGGTTCTGATGGCTTCAGTGAACTGCTGCAGGTTTAGAGTTCAGCTTATTATCACTGTGATGTTCACAACAACTTTCAAAAATGAATCACTTTTGCTTGTTAATGATTTTATGAATAAACAATAGATAAAAAAATGTTATCTATTACACTTGGTTACAGCAGAGTTCAACAATGAAATGACTGGTTGCCAGTTGAGGTAGGAAAAATCCCCATGTGGGCAGAAACTGGTTGTTGTAGCAGAAGGTTTTAGTTCCTTCAGGAACCTTCAGGCTGCTCTGTCTGGTTTTCTGCTGCTGAAGGATGAAGGACTTTGACTGGACCGCAGAGGTTTTCTCAGAGGAACCTGAGTGAACGAACATCAACGCAGACCAGAACCTCCAGGCTGGACTGTTCATCTTGACGCTAATGCATGCTGGGTAATGAAACATATCCATGCCTTGGTCAAAGTGGTAAAGATTGGTAAACTTTCTAAAGAAGATTGTAGATTTCTTCAGTATTTCCCATCCATGTTTGGCCATGATGCTTTAAGGTCTACCATGGTGCTTTTTACTCATGGAGATGGTTTGGGAGGTGAGCGCTTGGAGGAGAAGATCAGGGCCAGCAGAGAAGCTTCTGAATTGATTGAACGGTGCAGTGGGAGGTACTGTGTGTTCGACAACACCCAGAGTAGAAACCGGGAGCAGGTTAGAAGCTTCCTGCAGATAGTCGATGAGATGGTTCAACGAAACAGAGAACAACACTGTGACAGATTAAAGCCCACGCCTTTTCCAACAACAAGACGACACTTCAAGGGCCAATGTGTCTCCACAAGGCTCACAGTCCAGGAATGGAAATGCTCCATCTGGTTATGGAATTTCACAAAGATTTATGATCCTACTTTATTGCTTTTTTACTTTTGGACAGTTATGATACGTAACCATGCTGACAAGGTATTGTTTTTCCAGCAGGGAGGCGTCAGGAGCCTAAGAGCTGGACTTGGGGCACGGCGGTGGCACCATGGTAACGCCTGAGAGTCATGCATGAAGCAGCTGGCTTGAGTTTGAGTCCCAGTCTGATGACCTTTGCTGTATGTCTTCCCCTCTCACAGCCCACTTTTTACAGCTTGTAGAAAAGCGCTGCTTGAAAATGCTTGTTGAACGATCTCATTTACAGGATCTTCATTATTTTGACTGGGAGAGGATTTCTCTCTCTGGCAATGTAGAACTGGCTTGGGTTATTTAACTGGTTTCAGTTAAATTGTTGTTGCAGAGGTAGCTAAAGTTTTAAAGAAACTTGATCCTTCCAAAGAAAGCAGGGCCAGATAAATTAGAACACATGTTTTTAAAACTGACATTGTTTCGCATTTTTAATCAGTTTGTTAATCAATGTAATTCCCAAACTTTGGAAATCTGTCTTTATCCCCCCTTTTAAAGAAGGAGAACAAACAGTTTTTAACAATTACAGCAATTTTTAAATGATCTGTGCCTACACAAGTCCATTATCAGTGAACAAGTAAAAGAAAATCTGGCTCTAATTTCATTCTTTGATTTGCCAATCAGGATTTTGTAAAAAAAAAAACAAAAACCAAACAGTAGACCTGTTGCATGAAAGTTTCTAAAGGTCTGGATGAAATCAGTGTTGTCTTTCACCGTTTGTAGATTTCTCTAGATTTCACTTTGGATCACTTCATTCTACTTGACCATCTGACAGCAGCTGGGTTTTCTACTCGTACAATGAATAGTATTAGAACCAGAGTGATCTGTTTGAAGGTTTTTGTTCTGAAGTTCATTTTATTCACAAAGGGGACCCACAAGGTTATGTACTGGGTCCCTTTTTATTTATCTTTTATATTAACGATTTTGGAAAGGATATTTCAAATGCACCAATTCATTTCTATGCAGATGATACAGTCACATACTGCATATGTTTTATTGTAAGTTTACATTTGCTGTGGCTCTGTGTTGTAACCAAGTGTTTTTTGGTTTTGTTTTTCTCTGTATGCTGCCAGTCAAGGCCAGGCCTTTCCTGTAAGAGATATTTTGATCTCAGTGGGATAAACCTGGTTAAATAAAGGTTATGATTTTTTTTTTTTTTATTATGTCAAAAGCTCCAATAATACTTGAACTAAGACCCCAAATCTCAGAGGAGTTCAAAAGGAGGCTTCATGGATCAGAGAGTAAAGAAGGAGCAGGAAGTTGAATCTCTTCCATCCATCATAACATCAGATCTCCGACTCCCTCGTCTCTCTCTCCGGCTCTCCAGCAATATGGCTGGACAGATTTACAGAGCAGCGGCAAAAGCAGATGTGGATTAGCGGTGCTAGCCAAATACCTGTTGGTGTCATTCAGGACTCACCACTGAACCGATTGGAGAGTTGGGTCTGACTCTCCGGTTCAGCACTGGACTGGTTCCAGTCTGACATAAAGAACTGGGATTTCTTTGTTTCAATAGTACACTTCTCATCAAAGAGGTCAGAGGTCACATTTGGGTTTCCCCAAGGTTAAATCCTAAGACCCCTCTGATTCTATATCTATATGTTCCCACTGGCTCAGGTTACAATAGGAAATACGACCAGTTACCATGACAACACAGATGATTCGCAACTCTACCTTTTGATGTCACCAATTGGCTGTGCCAAAACCCACTATCTGAACAGAAACTGAAGTTATCTTTGAACCTAAAGAGGAACAATCTAGACTTATAGATCTAGAGCAGGGGTCACCAACTCCAGTCCTCGAGGGCTACCATCCTGTAACTTTTAGATGCGTCTCTGATCAAGCACACCTGGATCAAATAAACTGCTCGTTTCCAGCCTATTGCAGAGAGGAATGAATGCTGGTGAGGGAATTCAGACATTATGGAGCAGAGGTGAATCTAAAAGTTGCAGGATGGTACCCCTCGAGGACTGGAGTTGGTGATCCCTGATCTAGAGCTATATATCTAGAGTCATCAGCAGCTTCAGTTGTTTCAGCTAGAAACTAGAGATCAAGATAACCTCTGACCTGAATATTCAGAGCCACATAAAGCCGGTTCCAAAGTCAGCCTTCTATCAGCTGAAGAACATTTCCAGGATCAGAGGACTGATGTCTCAGTACCAGAGAAACTCATCCAGGCGATTCTCTGCAGTGGCATTGATTACTGCAGTAGCGTCTTTACAGGTCTAACAAATCAATAGTCCAGCTGCAGCTGATCCAGAACACTGCTGCTGGAGTTCTGACTAAAACCAGGAAGGTAAAGCCAACATCCAGTTCTACAGTCCTTCACTGAGAGAAGAGACTTTAAATACTGCTGGAGGTTTAGAAATCACTGAACGGATTAAAGATCTGCTGCTGCTGCTGGATCAACCTGCTGGATCTGGTTCTGCTCTGCACCAGAACCAGAGCCAAACATGGAGAAGCAGCATTCAGCTTCTATGCACCACAGACCTGGAACAAACTTTCATAAAAGTGGGAAACTGTCGAAACACTGAGTTCCTTTAAATCAGGATTAAAACCAACTGGTTGAATTTGGTCTCTGCTGCCTGGATGTTAATTTGTCAGTGTGTCATAATGATCATACGGCAACTGTCTTCAGTCAGAGGCTTCTTTAGATTAGCTGCAACACTGACTGCTACTGGAGACCTTTCCTTCCACAGCATCACCATCTAACTCTTTGAAGATACTT